TGCATAGTTTCTGATATAATTCCGAGGTCTTTGATCCATTTTGAGTTGATTTTTGTGCAAGGTGAGAGATAAGGGTCTAGTTTCATTCCTCTACATATTGATAACCAGTTTCCCCAGCACTATTTATTAGAAAGGCCATCTTTTCTCCAATGTATGCTTTTGGCACCTTTGTCAAGGATCAGTAGATGTGTGGGTTTATTTCTGTGTCTTTTATTCTGTATTATTTGTGTGTCTGTTTTTATGCCAGTACCATGCATTTTTTGTTACTATAGGTTCTGTCATATAATTTCAAGTCAGACATTGTGATTCCTCCAGCATTGATTTTTTTTTTTTTCCCTTAGAATTGCTTTGGCTATTCTGGGTCTTATATTTATTCTTCCAAGTGAATTTTAGGACTTTTTTTCCAGTTCTGTGAAGAATGTTACTGGTATTTTGATGGGGATTGCACTGAATCTGTATATTGCTTTGGGTAGTATGGTTATTTTAACAATATTAATTCTATCCATGAACATGCAAGGTCTTTCCATCTTCTGAGGTTTTCTTTAATTTCTTTTTTCAATGTTTTATAGTTTTCATTGTAGAGGTCTCTTATCTCCTTGGTTAGATTTATTGCTAGGTTTTTCTTTTTCTTTTCTTTTTTTTTTTTCCTGAGACTACTGTGAATGAAATTGTTTTCCTAATTTCTTTCTCAGCAGGTTCATTGTTGGTGTATAGGAAAGTTATTGATTTTGTAACTTACTACTTTGCCAAATTTGTATATTAAGTCTAGCAGTCCTTCAGTGGAATTTTTTGGATCTTCTAGGTATAGGATCATATCACCTGCAAACCTTGATAATTTGGCTTACTCCTCTCTTATTTTTGTCTTTTTTAATTTTCTTCTCTTGCCTAATTGCTCTGACTAGAATTTCTAGCATTAAATAGGAACGATGAGAGTGAGCAACCTTGTCTTGTCCCAGATTTTAAAGGAAATGCTTTCTGTTTTCTATTATCCCTAGGGATTTAGTTTGGGAAGAGAAGATATCTTTCTGATATCAGGGATTGAACCCAGGTGCATTTAACCATTGAACCACATCCCTGGCCTTTTTTATATATTATATTGAGACAGGGTCTTGCTAAGTTGCCTAGGGCCTCGCTAAGATACTGAGGCTGGCTTTGAACTTGCAATCCTCTTGCCTCAGCCTCCAGAGCCACTGGGATTATAGGAGTGTGCCACTGCACCCAGCATCAGAAAAGAAGATATTTTTAAACTTGAAGTCCTTTTTTTTTTTTCAATTCATGATCCGCGTTTGCTGAGATAGACTTGTATTGGTGATACTGTATCATATAATCCATGTTGAAGAAGAAAGTTGGTGACATTTTAGATGGTGTAAGTCATGTGATATTGTATAAGTAATGTGAACTTAATATTAGATCAGTATGATATGATCCTATAAATCAACAGCAATTTGTTGGATAAGTTGAACTGAAAAGGAGTGTGTGGTAAGGTGGGGATGAGATGTAGCTTATTGTGGAATGTGTTAGCTTTTTGTCTCTGTGATCAAAATACCCAAGAACAACTTAGAGAAGGAAAAGGTTATTCTGGCTCATGGTTTCAGAGGTTTAGTAGGTGGTGGGTCAGTTCCATTGCTCTGGACTGAAGGTGAGGCAAAATATCATGGCAGAAGGGCTTGGTAGAGAGTGCTACTCCATTTGTGGCAACCAGGAGACCATGGCACATTGCAGCAGGTAAGATGCACCCTTCAAGGCACAGCCCCAGTGACCCAAGTCGAGCTACCTCCCACCTACCTATAGTTCCCACCCAGTTAGTCTGACTGATTAGGTCCAGTCATTTCACCTCTGAATATTTCTGCATTAACACAAAAGCTGTTGGGGAATCACCTCATCTCCAAACCATGACATGGAGTCCCATTTATGCATATCTCATCTCCTTTTTCTTTATTTAATTATTGTTTTATCTGAAATTTGTGTGTTTACCTATGCCTATTGCAAATGCAAATGTCAAAATATCATATAATAAATGAAATTTACAAAGATATTGTCAATTTTTAACATGTGCTTTAGGTAACTGCAGAGTTTTGGGGTGAGGAGCACTATTAGTTACAACAGAGAAATAAAAGATTACTTTCCAGTCTGTCTTGGATTATGGTTAGACTGGGACCAGGAACAGAGAAAGACATAGGTATAATTCAGAAGGAAACCAAAAAGAAATTTAGAAAAAATAATTTAATGTAGATTTATCTCTATATTTGTTTATATTCTTTTTAAAAGATGTTTGTTTCTTTACTTCATCTCTAAGTTTAATGAGGGCTCTTTTATGTATTTATGTTTTTGGTCATTCATGAAGCTTTTAAAAAAATTGAGTTATATTTCACATAGCATACATAATATTTGTCTTCTTAAAGTTTATCATTCAGTGGTTTTTAGTATATTCACGAATATGCAGTCATCGCTACTACCTAATTCCAGAACATATTCTTCCTCCAAAGAAACCACATACCAATTAATGTTTACTGTCCATTTTTGTTTCTCTGTAGTCTCTGGCAATCACCAATCTTTTTGTCTCTGGATTTGTCTATTCTAGGCATTTCATATAAGGAACCATACAATATGAAACCTTTTGTGTCTTGTTTATTTTATATAGTGTAGTGTTTTCAGTGTTCATCCACATTTTAGCATGAATCAGTACTTCATTCCTTTCATATGGCTCAATAATAGTCCATAGTATAGATATACCACATTCTATTTAACCCATTTGAGAGTTGATAGGCATGATTTGTTTCTATTTTTTGGTTATTATAAGTTTATGTACAATTTTTACTGGTACATATGTTTTCTTTCTTTTTCTTTCGTTTTTTTTTTTTTGGTGTATTTCTTCTTTTTGGTGGTGCTGAGAATCGAACCCAGTGCCTTGTGCATGCAAGGCAAGCATTCTACCCCAGCCCTTGGTGTATTTCTAGGAGTAGACTTGCTGAGTCATATGGTAGCTCCATATTTAAACTTTAGAGGAACTGCCAAATTGTTTTTCAAAATGTAACATTTTGCATTTTACCAGCAGTGTGTGAAAGTCCCAATTCTCTACATCCTTACTAACACTTGTTACTATCTGTCTTTTTTAAATTTTGGCCACCCTAGTATGTGTGAAGTGGCATCTCATTGTGGTTTTGGATTTTACTTCTCCGATGGCTAATGATGTGTGAAGCATCTTTTTTGGAGAAATGTCTATTTAGATCTTTGCCCATTTTTTCTTGGGTTGTCTTAGCGTTGAATTGTAAGAGTTGTTAATTTAGTCTGGATACTAGACCTTATCACATATATGACTTGCAAATGTTTTCTTCCATTATATTGGTTCTTTTTACTTTCTTTTAAAATTTTTGATGAAGCCCAGTTTGCTTCCCCTGCCTCTTTGTGGTTGCTTGTGCTTTTTGTATCATAGTTAAAAAACCATTGAGAAAAGGATCTAAATGGTTCTAAACTATTGCCTGATCTAAGGTCACCAAGATTTACACCAGTATTTCCTTCTAACCGTTTAGTTTTAGCTCTTCATTTTAGGCATTTAGTCCATTTTGAGTTAATTTTTGTATATGGTGTGAGGTAAGGATCCAACTTCATTCTTTTATATGTGTAAAACCTTTGGCCCTTTGCTGAGTCTTACTTTTAATAATTAGGTCTTTGATCTCATTTAATTACCATAACAATCTTGTGAAATATTTATTCCCATTATCAACTTGTCTCATTTTGAAACAGAGTCTTAAAACCTAAGTATCTTTTCCGAGGTCTGCTAGCTCAAGCCCCAAGTTTTGCCTTCATTTAACCACTAGGCTACACTTCCTTTTCTTTTAGGAAATGTACATGCTTTTGGTCAAACATGAAGGCTGCTTAGAAATTAAGTGGCTCTGTAGGACTAAAGAACATTGTAGAACCAACACTATATGTTTCAAACACAAAGAAAAGAAAACCCTACTGGGTTTTGAGCTTTTATACCAATTCCTACTTTTATTCAGTAAACTTACTCTGGGACTCTTGGCAGAGGATTTTAGGATTGGATTCTTATTACCAAGGGCTATCATAGTGCTGACCTTACAGCTTTCTGGATGACAACCATGTTCTGTATCCATGTTGTTCATTGTGTTAGCCACTCCCCAGATGTGGCTATTGAGCACTTGCAGGGGTAGTGAAACGGGAACTAAATTTCTTTTTACTGTGGTAAAATACACATAATATAACATTTCTCATTTTATATTTCCCCATCCAAAAATCTGTACTCAGTACTCCTCGTTCCTCTCCCTCCTTGGCTCCATAATCCACCATTCTATTTTCTGAGTCTATGAACTTGGCTCCTATAGGTACCAAGTACTTTCTATGACTCTAGATCATACAAAGAGGATCCAGATTTCTAATTTTAATTCATTTTGTTAATTTAAATTTGAATAGCTCTGTATGGTTAATAGCTACTTACTGTTGGCCTAGAGCCAGGGTAGGCCTGGGAGAAGACCACCTCTCACAAAATTGACACCTGCTGTCTGACATAGTCTGAATCTGAGGCATCCAGTCCATGTCCATATTCCAGGACTTTGTGGCTGAGAGCAGAACCAAAGAAGTGAAGATCAAATAAACAAGCATCCCTCTAGTGCATAGAGACTCTGATGATGTCGCACAGAAGGACATTACTCCAGAATGCTAAGACCTGAGTTCTCTCCATGGACAGTATGCTCTGGGGACTTTCTGCTCTTCACATTCCAGAGTACCTGCTTGGGATGTGAAATTATACATAGAGGTGTCTGCCCGGCTCTGGGATGGCCTGAAGTGGGGAGAGGGCCTCTTTCAGTGGTCTGCACTTGCAGGAACTGCCCCCTTCACAAGTTGGGTGGGTGTAGTTAGGACTGTGTTTGGAAGGACAGCATCTTCTGTCAGTCATGAATCGCAGGAGGCGGAAGTGAAACTCCTCTAATTAACCACTGTGAAAGCGACTCACTCTCATTCTTGTTTTGTGGTTTCTGCAGTGCTGGACTTCAGCGATCCCTTCAGCACTGAGGTGAAGCCGAGAATCCTGCTCATGGGCCTGAGGAGAAGTGGCAAGTCGTCTATTCAGAAAGTTGTCTTTCACAAAATGTCACCCAACGAAACGCTGTTCCTGGAGAGTACTAACAAGATATGCCGGGAAGATGTTTCCAACAGTTCCTTTGTCAATTTTCAGATTTGGGACTTCCCAGGACAGATTGACTTTTTTGACCCCACCTTTGACTATGAGATGATCTTCAGAGGAACGGGAGCACTGATATTTGTCATCGACTCTCAGGTACAGCTCAGTGCCTCGGGCATGATGGCCCTGAAGCCCTGCAGCCCCCACATCTCCCCACATTCATTTCTGATGGCTTCAGTTTGGTTTTTGAAATCCAGAATAGGCCTTTCTACCTAACCAGTCTTTCTTAGTCATGGCCCTCAGACTTCGCAAAAGAGAAAAGGCTCCCTTCTTCCAGCCTGACAAACAATCGGCCAACCCACCTTTAGAGGCCAAGGACCCCAAATATGTGTCACGCTCCCTAGGATCCCCTTGGCAGAAATCTGTAAAAGATCACAGGTTCTGTACACCAAAAATCTATATAAGTGTATATTTACATGTACATCATGTCCGGCGAAGGGAAAGTTTTAAGTGAACATTTTTCTTCTGAATCAAATTTTAATTATCACTAACACACAATTATGACATAATAACTGTCATATATTTTAATAGATAACTATTAAAAAGTAAAATTTGAGATAAATATCTTTTCTAAGATGGATATTTTGATGTTTTCCCACTTAATTTATATATCCATGCTAGAATAAGCTGGGGTTGGATCAATTGGGTTTGTATAGATATTCAAACTTTCTTCACATGAATAAGTAGCAGATACAGGGTGAGTTTTATCATAGCTTTTTTGTCCACTTACTTTCAATCCTTCCAAGTTATATCCCCTACATCACCCAGTTTTGGGTTGTAAAAGTAGTTTACCAACAGATAGCCTGATTAGGTTCTCCTTCAACCTTCTTGGAAGCAAAGAATAAGGAACCTCTGTGGACTAGTGAAGGGCTCTATTCTCTAGCCATTAGTGAGATTCACATGAGCCTTCCAAACTGGCTCTTTGACACTTGGGTTTCTATACCCTGGGGTTTTTCTCCTCTAATGTCTGTAAATGGGAGGAGGGAAAAGGAAACAGACCTGGTGCTTTTCTGGCAGATTGGTTTTAGGGAGGGTGCCTGTTTTGGGGTTTGGGTATTGATGCCTTGCAAACACTTTTTCACAGTGTCTGCGGCTTGAGGCCCAGACCACAGGCTCTCCCATAGACTGACGGTTTTACAGCTGTTGGGGAGTAAAAGGCAACAGATCCTCTAGGTGTGTGCTAAATCATCAATGAAGTTCAGGTATTTCCCTTTTTCCCTGACATTTCTCTGACATTGCATACCTACCATCACGTTAGGCAGCTGTTGGTGATCACCTGGTCTTCCAGAAGCCCAGGGTGTTAGGGAGTATTGCAGGGTGCCCAGCACCCCACCAGGGTAGGTTCCTGTCAGGAGGTATGAGCCACCTAAGAAATAAAATGTCTGAAATAATTAGTAAGAAATGGAGACAGAACCAGAAATTAGATATAAAAAGCAGAGCGCCTGATCCTGATAGGTCTTCTAGTCCTGAAAGGAGCTGGAACTGAACAACTGAAAAAGGGCCCCAATTCTTGGTGTGTCAGGAGTCTTGCAGTAAACAGGTTGATTGGCATTTTGGCAAGCCACATCCATCCCTGAGAGGCTCCAGCGGGTCACCCGAGTCCGAAGCTGTGCTGAACTTGTGACAGGGCTGGATAGGAAGCCACATGAACCAGGCGTTTTCAGACCAGCAGGGTTAGTGCTAGGTGTTCCCGATACCAGGCTTTCCTGCCTGAAGGCTTCAATATCGTTTTAGTTCATGAACAGTTCACATGGGTCATGGATGGCTTCCCTCAAGAGAGGAAGGGCTTATAGAGACTGTTGGTTATCATGGTTCTGAGACCACACTTGGAAAACCATTTTCTGAGAAACTGCTCATGCCTGAAAGGATCAGGAACTAGGTGCCTATTTATGTAATATAATAATGAAATTTTCAACAGTCTTCCAGTTCCAAGAGGCCACACTGTACCTGTGCAGCTGTTCTTCAGGGTGGAAGTATGGAAGGGGGAGACTGGAAATCCAATGCCTGATCTATGGACAGCAGTTCACCCTCCCATTGTCCCACCCAGAAATGCTGGTATTGTGTGTGCTTGTAGACACCTGAATCATATTTAGGGCCTGCTGTCAGCAGCTGCTTTCCTGGCTGTCCCACTTGTACTGACCTGTTTTCTGGCCCATCTGTGGCCTTGGCAGTATCCTCTGCATTCCTGTCTCAGACCTGCCTGGACCCCAAGGGAGTGGATAGAGCGTGTGCACAGTGCCATGTCATCTCTTCTAAGCTCCCTTTTCTCTTGGGTTGCCCAATCCTGTGCCTGTACTTGTTGAACTAGGTAGCTGTAGTACTAGTCCTGGCAATAGTAAGTAGATTCCAACTAGATGACTCATTTCGAGACACAATGACTTAGTAAAAACTTACTTAAATACTGTATTGTGCTAATATAGCAATTTGCATTTATAGAATTCAAATTTCCAATGCAAATCTATCTCAAGTATTTATTATATGACTGTTATTTGGCTAAAATAAGTACACTTTTTAATTTTAGATCTCAACTGTATTTGATTTTAATGTTACCTGAACATGAAAAGCAGACCTTCTGTTTGGCTTATTTTAGTGTTGTTTTAAGGTTTTTGTTTTGTTTGTTATAGGTCAGAGAAAGGTATAAATAAGAATGCTTGAATTCATCTTTTACAGTTACACTTTAAAAATGACCAGGGTGTCTGGGGGCATAGCTCAGTGGTAAAATACTTGATGAAGATGCTTAAGACCTTGGGTTCTATCCCCAGCACTGAAAAAGAAGTAGGAAAACTTTGTTGAGTGCTATCATTACCAAAAACGAAGAATAATCTAAAAGCCAGAGTCAGAGCTTATATACTACTTTTTCGTGTTTGCAGGAATCTTCATGGTTATGAGCATAAAGGGAAATCAGATTTTAGGGAAGTGGCTCTCGACAGCACTTGGATGTCCTTTCCATTATTTCTAAGCAGCATTCTTTTGGTCTGACACCTCATGTTTTTATTTTTTGACTGTGAATTCTCACAATCACAGGATTTCCAGATAAATATATCCCCAAGGAGAAATTAAGTCCTCACAGAATGTTGTGAAATAAAAACGAATGAAAGCAAGAGTGATTTCCCACAAGCTCAGTGTAACTCTCCCACCCCCAGAAGAGACCACAGAATGTCCCTCTCTTCCTGAAGTCTTTGGATTCCAAAGAATTTCCACTTGACCCTGTTGGTGGTGATTGTGACCTACCTGCCTGTAATCCTAGATTTAATTACAGAGTAGAAACTAGACAGTATGTTTTACCTTATTTTTAAAATTTTGTCATAGGAAACAATAACAGTGGGAAAAAATCATTTGCAATCCTCTCTTCTAATAAATGGAGAATTTTTTTCTTTCTAATGTCAATTTTAGTCTTTTTTTTTTTTTTTCTTCAAAGCTAGGAATTGAACCCATGCTAAGCATGCACTCTACCACTGAGCTATACTCCCAGTTCCTCGTTTTTGGCCCTTGAGGCTCTATGCTATTTTACTAGTTAGCTGGTCATGAGACCATTTTATTGGCAAGGAGTTTAGACTGGTGGTTTCTAATATTTTGAGATGTGATCCTCTCTAGACATTGGGTTATTTTGCTTATAGACCTGTTCCCTTAACTTCCTATTCAGTTAAAGATGAAAGCAATAGTACTCTTTTGTGTATTAATATAATGCAATAACATTGCACTCGTTTTAAGCACATAATTTAACGGTATATGTCATGTAACCACCTTATATTCAAGACTGTGTATTTCTGTACCCACAAAGGTCCCCTTGGGCCCTTTCACAGACCATCTCTGTAATGC